ACAAGAATAGAGACGAGGAATGAGCACTATGTATGCGTGAGACTATGAGAGATGAGAGAGTTGAGAATGCAGATGAGATTTTCCGTGTCTCGATCAAGTCTCTACAATGTCCTATTTATAGGACTTCCACCTAGGTGGGGGATGACTCTTCATTTTGTAACCACCAAGCCATTAAAGACCATTCATGCTAGTTTTGATGACTATTCACCAAGCCATAATTAACAACCATTCATGACTTGGTTTTAATTGCAAAACGTTTCAGGTTTAACTCACCATTAATTCACCACGTAACTCCTGAAACCGTCAGGTGGTGAACAATTGAAAGGTCACACGTACAGGTTCAATGTACCTAGAACGATGTCACACGGGTTGGGTCAAAGCGCCGAGTCCAAAACCAACTCGATTTGTGCACCAACACTTGGTGCATAACTTTGTTGTTGTTGTTGTTGTGACATCTCCAACTCTCTTTATTATAATAAAGTGAGTTAATTTCATTTAAGAGTTCTATGTGGGACATGACTTTTGACCATTCGAATCCCACAACCAACATTTTGCGTGCCCATTTATGGCTAACATTTATTTCACACTCATAAAAAATCAGTTTTGAGAAATTAAGTATACCACGAGTCTCTACTCGGAACGTATAATTTTTCTACACAATTTAATTCAACCCGAATTAAATATTTAGATATAAAAAATCAGTCAAAATGGGGTCATACCCAATTTAATATTACTGATTTTCCAACAAATAATAATAATAATAATAATAATAATAATAATAATAAAAATAATAAAAATAATAATAATATAGTGGTACAGAATAATTATTATGTACCACTATATATTATTATTATTATTCTTATTATTATTATTATTATTATTATTATTATTATTATTATCATTATTAGTATTTAATAGGTGTCTTGGAGAATAAGTTAGAGATTTAATGTTATTATTTAATATTTAATGAGGGTTCTTGTCTTGTTGGACAAGTTAGTATTAGGGTTTTAGGAGTCTTATTTAAAGGACTCCTCATCTTTTGTGCTATTCAGTTGAAGTTGATTTTGAAGATTATATATGATATTTGAGTTTTGTGTGTTTTATCGAGAGAGCATCTAATTTTATATTTCTCATTCGTACGCTTTCCTACATCAGTTGGTATCAGTAATCAGTACAATTCGCGATGTCACCGGAAAAAGATGCCGCAAACAAACGACGTGATGCAACCTTCTTCGATCGGTTTCAACAGATTGACTACCGATTTCAATAATTGAATTGCGTTTCACAGATTGGTTTGCTGATCTTTCAACGGGGATCGAAGATTTGCATTTGACGTTTAAAACGTGGTCTGGGATTTGCAGATGAATCGTGCCGCCGGCTACCGGGGTGTGCGCGGGGGAGTCCACGGAGGAAGTGGAGGTCGTGGTCCAGGTGGGGCGCCCCTTCGGCGATCTCCACAATCGCCGTCCGGCGATGCAGACGACGAGAAAACCATCTCGGAGGTGGATTCCTTAAGAAAGTAGCCGCCTTCGTCCGTCGAGACTGAGCTCGTTGCTGCTCACAACGGGCAAGATGTACGACAACAAGGTGTGGTTTTTGAGGAAGATGACGGACTATTGTACGACGGTCCGCCTATTTTCGATGATGAGCCTACGGTGACGGATACATATTTTTGCAGCAATATAGGTCCCGCGTGGGACGTCACAGAAGTTGAGCCTTTGACGGGAATGTCGTTGTTCAAACCCGATGTCTTGAGTATTTTGGCCAACGATGGTTGTTCGGAGACGAAGCAGATGCTCAATAACTGGTGGGTCATTTTTCGATTGTCTATTGCGAAGTCTCCCAACGATGGGATGTTTGGTCGTAGTTATAGATTTGAGCACGTTGAACGATGTGGTATATTTAGTGTTAATTCCGCTGTGTGGGTTATGCGTAGGGAGACATCTACATGTACCTTTGCAGCAGTACAACACTTGCTCGGGCTTATGTTTCTCATCGAGGTTGTTGGGCAGCCTTCATCTTTCGTGTTCGATCGGAGGAAACATCGGGTTATTCCTGTCATAGGGGCGTCTCCAACAGAAACGGGTCGGATTTGAGGGTGAATCCTACTCCACCGGGGGAGATGTGGCAGAATAATAATTAAGATTATTATTATTATTATTTAATAGGTGTCTTGAAGAATAAATTATAGATTTAATATTATTGTTTAATATTTAGTAAGAGTTCTTGTCTTGTTGGACAAGTTAGTATTATGGTTCTAGGAGCCTTATTTAAATGACTTCTCATCTTTTGTGCTATTCAGTTGAAGTTGATTTTGAAGATTATATATGATATTTGAGTTTTGTGTGTTTTATCGAGAGATCATCTCGTTTTATCTTTCTCATTCGTACGTTTCTCTATATCATATAGCCATCACCATTTTCTTGTTGGACACGAACTTATGATTTTGGAGACTCATGGTGATGGGTTTAAAATAGTAAAATAACAATTTACTAAAATCACGCCAAATTGGGCGTGCATTCTACTTTCGAACCACTAATTTTGACTTCTTGTAATTTTTTTTTTTGGTATAGGGACCTTCCGGTTTTCGGATCCACAGAGGAACCGACTAATCCAGAATCGAGTCGGGTAATTTTTTATTTTTTTATTTTTTTATTTTTTTATTTTTTTTTAACGCATAGGCTAATAAACATGATTAATGCATTCTGCTTTCGAACCACTAATTTTGACTTATTGTAAGTTTTTTAACACATAGGTTAAGAAACATTATTAATTTTAACTGATGACGCATTGAATGACAATTATGTTACCCCTACTATTTTACTGATGTGGTCGAATCATCGGTACATCAAAATTTCAGGTCAAACAATCTTATCTCGAATCATGAATCAGTTTAATTTGAAAATATGCAATATAATTTAGTAATTTAGAGAGATCATATATTTAATTAGTTAGAAAAATATTATAATTATTTTTATCATTGTTATAGTAATTGTCTAAATAATTTTAAAGTGTTTAATTATGACACTCATGTCAATTAACTAATATTAGATAAAAATCGCTTAAAAAGACAAAAAAATATTTTATTTTAGAAAAAATATTTTAAAGAAAATAAAAATTGCAATACAATTTTTTTTATAAGTATGTACCTTCCACATACTATTTTATGTAAAATTGTAATCAGTTAGTGTTAGTAGTAATACTATAATAAGTTAGTTTAAAATTGTTATTACAATTTATTAATGTAAAATGTAACGTTTCTACATTAATTGAAAAATGAACGGGAAAACTATGACGATTTTATTAAATAAGTTTTATTTAATTCATCTGCCAGCAATTATATATATATATATATATTATTTTCGACAAATACTATAAAATATAAAAAATAATATGTTTTTATTATATTATAAATTATAAAATTTATTTCATTATTTCGGTTCATTCAATTTTTAGTTCGATTTGGGACAAAAGCTCAGTCGGCTTGGTTTTAAGAAGTGGTGAATTTGGTTAATTCGATCTTTTGACATTACAATCGACGAACATTCCGAGTCGTACTAATAGTAGTATAATTCTAAAACAATCCCATTTATTTTATTTCATGTTATTTTAAATTTTTTTAGCTAATAACTCTAATATCATTTGAGCTTTAAAAGTATCAAGAAGGATGTTATGCCAAGCAAAAATTAATTTATCATTTAAAATGGTCATCGGCAATTTTGAAAATAGTATCATTTAGTTGGCAATTAACCATTTTCTATTTATTAATTCGTTACACTAGTAATTCTTCCTGTGCATATGCACAGAATAAAAAAAAACCTTTTATATAAAGATAACAACTAAAAGAAAAATTAATTAGCAATATGTATCACATTTATGATTTAATTGTTACATTAACTTAGCGAGTTATTTGAGAATTAATTCATTTTAACTTAATTGTATTTATTAAATACAATAAATAAAAATATGAAGTTTGCAATATACTAAGGACAATTGTTTTATGAATTGAATATAGTAAAAAATATAATTTTGTATATAATTTGAGTATTTTAATAAAAATTATTACAGTACGGACAAAGTAAAAGAGAAAAAAAAAAAGACAGTATAAATCTTATATATCATATAAATGAATCTTTTATAGGTTTTCCATAAAAAAAAAAAAATACAGGCCAATTCTACCATGTATTAGAAAGTGGTATATCATAATATTATATAAAAATGAGATATGTAGTAGTATTTTTAGGTTTTATTTATTGCTCTATATATATATTTACAGAAAAAAAAGGAAAAGATGTAGTAACAATATTGTAACAGTGACACCAAAATATAACATTACTTACTATTTATCAGAATAACAAAAAACACATTAAATCACTTTCTAAAACATAACTGTTACAATTTTTACGTAACATTATGATACTTTATTACATCATTAAATTACTTTTAAAAAATAATAAAATTAAAATGTAACGTCTTTTGGCGGGAAAATGCCACGTAGGTATAATTTAATATGTTTTATTAAATGTTCGTGAGCCAATAATTATATATATATATAGATTTTTCTTCGTATTGTATATGAGGAAGTGTCTAGAAGTCGTTACCAACCTATATGTTCAGCCAGCGCCTAGCACCTAATCAACGCTTAGTAGAGCCTAGAAATAAAGATTAAATACCTTAAATTTTTTATTTGTTTTCATTGCCTAGAAAATAAAATTATATCAACTTATAATAAATCAAGACACCTAAGTCCAAATAACAACATTAATATATTATAAAGGAAACATGATAACAATTAATGTAATTAGTATTTAAGAAAATAAAAAAAATAAAAAATTGTCGGCGTTCCCGCCTAGGAGCGCCTAGGCGAACCTAGGCAGCCGCCGATCCCGCCAACCCACCTGACCAATTTTTTCAACTGATTTATGCAAATCTGGGGCACCGAGGCAGCGCCTAGCGCCTAAACACCGCCTAGGTCGCCTATGCCGATTTTTAGAATAGTTATGAGGATGATAATGCAAAAAGTAAAAATAAAATAAAATTAATGCAGTTAAAATCATATAATTCAAAACACAAAACCAATCAAGTTGATAAATTATAAATATATTTTATGTAGTTTGGAAGTCCCGTTGGTGTTGGCTCCGTAACGGAACCAACAGTTGGCTCCTTAGCATTACTGTGGAACCTTATATTAAGATAATGTGAGTAAATAAATAGTTTTTATTAAATAATATATAACAACTATTGTTTTTACTTTTAATTTATATTAGTGAGAGTATTAAAAAAAATTAAAAATAATAGTATTTGTTATAGGGGGTGTCTATATGTACACCCCCTTGTGTGTAAAAAAGGGGTGTACATATAGCATTGCCCTTTGTGTAATCTATACTTATATTAAAAGGAAACCTATTTACTAAATATAGTAGGTAGAAAAGTCAACTTTAATTAATGAACTTCTAATTTTATCAAGTAGTAATTAATGCATTTATAATTTTAATCAAGTTTCCTATTTTACATATTGTTTTTAATCTTTCTTATCTTGACATAAAAAAATCCCATAAAATGGGGTGACCAAAAACAATCAAAATTCTGTTTCTAAAAACTACAAATCAATATTACGATTTTGAATAATACACTAACAAATTATAATATATTTTTATAAAACTTATAAAAAACTATTAAAAAAACTTGGTTCGTATATTTGTATGGATATTTATATTTTTTAATATTATCTTTGTGTTAAAAAAAACTATTTAACACTATTCTTTTTATTATATACTAAAATAATAATTAAATATTATATGATGAACAAGAATAAATAAAGCTGTTACTTTTTTTTATATCAAGGGATAAATTTATATACTGAAATTAAAGTTTTATTAGTATAAATATTTTAGTGAGATAATATATTAATTATTTTACAAGCTAGCCCTAACATACTCATATTTAAGTTTTGGCTAAAAAACAATGCTGGTTAAAAGATATGAAAAAAAACTTATAACCTTATTATTTTTTAGACATAAAGTTGATCAAAAGAGGGAGAAAATAGATAATAACACTATTACTTTTAAGATTTAAACGGACAAGACTGTTAAAATAACTCATTTAATATCTATGTTCCATGCATCGCATGGGGTACGTACTAGTAAAAAGGGGTGTACATATAACATTGCCCTTGTTATATTATTTTGTTTTATTTCAATCCCATTCAGTTTCAATGATTTCAGTATTTGACTCACCACCGTTCGAGCAGCACAAATAATAATTCTCGCCAAAGAGGGAAAAAAAACCCAGAGATCGGCGGCGATGGGGGCTGTGACGACGGCATTGATAGCCATAGCCGCGGTGGCGCTTGGCTGGTGCACGATCGAGATCGCGTGCAAGCCCTGCCTCGAAAAAGGCCGCGACGCCATAGATCGCAATCTCAACCCGGATTACGACCCGGACGGCGAGTCCGCCGCCCCGGCCCTTCACGCGCCGCTTAATCCAAGCAAAGTTGACGATGATGCCCCTGTGGCCTCTTCAGCCGCCGTCAAGCCCGTCTAATCGCTTAATCGACTGTTAAGTTGGATTTCGAATTTGCGTTGTTCGGTTTTTGGAATTTATTTTCCCGTTTTAGTTTTGGTTTTTTTCTTCATTGATGCCCCTCTTTGTTGTTGTGTATGTAATGCCAATAAGAAGAAGATAGTTATACTTTTTTTTTTGGGACTTGTGTTTTGTGTGATACATCTCACTTCTTTATCTGATTGCAACTCCAACTCCAGTAGACGAGCCGAGCCGAGCCGAGCTTAGGGTGCTCGAGATCGGGCATGAGTTTCGGCTCCTTTACCACTCATAACAAGCCGAGTTCGAGCCGATCTCGAGTTTTAACGAGCCAAACTGTAGAACATTATGTACAACATTCCTTTTCGAGCCTTAACGAGTCTTATCGAGCAGTGCTGAACTCGAGTCTTAAAGAGCCGAGCTCGATTCAAGCCGAGCCAAGCTCGTTTAATTTAACAACACTAACTGCAAGTAATTTTAAGTATTTTTGACAGTAAGTCTGCTATTAGGCACCCATAAGTATGCAATTTGTTTAACAGGAAAGTAGGTCGATCCGTCTCACCGATTTGACTGTCTCACACACGAATTTGTGATGATTTGTACGTATTTTTACTTTATTTCGATGACTGTTGTGCTCTTTTGTTTTGGGATGCGCCCCTCATTGGTGTTTTTAACTTTTATGTAATCCAATAAGAAAAAAGATAGTGATGCATATTTCTCATACTTATGTTATTTGTGTGAATAAAAAAGTTCACTTTTTGATCCAATAGCAAGTATTTTGATAGTGTCCAAAAATACAACATTTCATAGCGTGGAATAAGTATGCATTTTCGTTAATAAAGTCGAGTCGATCTGCCTAACAGTTATGCCTGCTGACACAATAATTTGTGATCATTTGAAGGTATTCTTCTTTGTTTCGATGATTATTGTGTCTTGAATTGATTTCTATGGTAGAGTTTTTAGTATTCTTGTGAAGCTCTTCTACTTTTAAATGTTCAGATTATTGTGGTTTTCTTGTTAACCTCTTCTTGAATTGTTTCCTTATACGGTACATTTTATTCTTCATTCATCACAGGTTCTTCATCGATGGTTTTATGAAAGAAGTATTTGGCTGTTCGAACGATTTAGTTGTTTTTGGGTTTTATGGTTGAGTGTGGCCTTGAGCAATTTACTTTGCTCCTTTCTTTATGCCATCTTTATGCCAAAAAAATGGAGGAGTGTGGCCTTATTCTGGTGTTCACAAAAAAAATCCTATACTACAAAAAATGATGAGTGTGGCCTTATGCAAAATTTTTTTTGCATCAACACATTATTTCATTTTGTTTATCTGTCGAAACAGATATTATTTTATTGATCGGCACATCAATAAATGATGCAAAACAAGATTACATAGAAGTACATTAAAAATTAGTTACTGTAACCCATGAGCAAAACTTTCTACTAACACAAGCCGCACGTATAACTATCAATTTTATTGAATCAATCAAGATTAAGAATCAGCTCTATCAATGTTATCTAACTAATCGAGATTCAAAATCAGCTGCATAGCTATATCATGATTTCACTGAGTGCAAATATATAACAAGGAATCCACGTATGATTTTCTGCAGGACACAAAATGTATGAATATATGAATTCAGTTCTTATAGTGCATAAGTTAACAGGTAACAACTAACATCAAATCAAAGTAGTGGTTTCAATGTCCAAGTCCCCAAAACTGGAAATAATTTTAAAAGGTACCACTTTTTAGGATTTTCCATGTACTTCAACTGCAAATTTCCATGACTTCTACTTTAACAAGCCAGATTTCGAAAGGAGGCGCAAAGCTTGATTTGAGTTGTTCAAAACTGCCGAGGATCTTGGGACCCGCATTCTTCGTTTGTTCAAAAACTTCAATGAACTCTGTACACATTGCGCAGATGGTATCTCCTTCAAGATAACAGGTTCGAACCTGCCGAGCCAAAGAAGGGTAATAAGTGTAGACTTTTTATCATACAAAATAATTTGGCGAAAATGCATTTTTAGTCCTGTTGGTTTAATGCCATAACAATTTTAGTCCCAATGTTCTAACTGTTCGCTTTTTGGTCACATGATTTAATATTTTGTTGCAATTTCAGTCATTGAGGACTGAAATTGCAACAAAATATTAAATTACATGACTGTTGCAGTACTTAAATTGCTAATAATAAATCCATCCCAAAGATATAAATTGGGAATTTGTAGCAATTTCAGTTCTCAAATAACTGAAACTGCAGCAAAATATTAAATTAGGCGAAATGTTAGAATTTTTGGACTAAAATTGCTATGGCGTTAAACCAAGAGGACTAAAAATACAATTTAGCCAAACAATTTTATGTGCAAAAGTTATAATCTAAAATGTGAAAGAGATAAATGGACTAACTCACCCGGATTTTTTCAGCTTTCGCTTTTTTGAGGTGCCCTTTTTCTCAACTTTCTCATCCTCAGAATCGGATGTGAAGACTATCCTACAGACAAGAAAAAACAAAAAAATAAAATAAAGTAAAAGTTGCCTCAGGCTCAGCGTATATCAACATGATAGAACTTAAAAGAAAAGGCCAAGGCGAGATACTTTTCACGGGCCGCAAGAAGTTTGACAATGTCATCCGGAAGCATTCCATTATTGCCCTGAGAGTCTTCATACGTTTCGGTTTTGGTTTCAGTTTCATCTTTGATGCTTCTTTTTTTGGGCAATGGCTTTGGAGTCAAATTCTTTGCCCATTTTCTGCGACGTTCTTTTACCTCACGCACAACCCTAAAAAAAGATTGTGTTATTTTCTCATTATCACCAGTTGGCATATGAATACAAGCAAGAAAGGTTAAGGGAGAATCTACATTGATTCATATTTAAGGCCATAACAGAGATATGTTTTCAAATCTTTCAGAGCTCTCTCTTTATATGTTTTTAGTAGCAAAATAGCAATAGAGAAAAATGGGCAGCATTAGCATATACCTCATTGTTACAAGATGCTCACAAAATTTACCCTTCCCTCTTTACTAGCATATACAATCTATAAGTTCACATTCCTACTACAAAACTGTATATGATGAAATGAGTTCCTGAATGAAGCAATAAATAGCAGAAAAGAGCTTAATGATGACTATATATAGATAGGGAAATGCCACGGTCCCGTACCATCCCGTCGGGAGTTTAACTGTTGGATACACATGTAGTTAGTACAAGATTGATGATCCAATGGTTAAAACACCGGACGAGATGGTAAAATCACAAACTTTGCACATTTGTCTCAACAACAATATAACAAAAAATAAAAAAATTACCTAGCTTTATTTTCTCTTTGCACTTTCCTTATCTCTTCATCTTGTTGCATCCCCTGAAAAAAAAAAGAGGGGAAATTATACGAATAATAACTTAATTCAAGAGTTACAATACGCATAAATTAAACGAAAAAAGATAGACTGAAGAGTGAACGAACCTGACGGACGGTAAACACCTCAGGGGCATCGGAATCGCTTTCCATTTCTTTGTCTGACATTCTTATCACGAAACCGAGATACAAATTTACGTCTTATAACGCCAAATAGAGGTTCGATTCTGACTTATGAGGACTGCGGACTGAGGATCTTCGACTCGCCGTCGATTTTCGACTTAAAATTCCGACTCGCCGTAGAGCTTCAACCGGGAAATCGCCAGCCCAGCTTCGAGCTTCGAAGGGAAAATAAGCAGCCGAACTTAGAGCTCCGATTTGAGGTCGGAGACAGGGAGTGGAGATGCCGGAAACGGTGCGGGGATGGAAGTGGAGGCGGAGGTCGGCGGCGGAGGTAGATTTTAGGGCAATTTTTCGGCCGAATGAATGTGGACTGATTGAGGTGTTTTTGTCATCTGTGTTTGGATTTGACTTTGCACTTGATTTAATCATGACCGTTGATCTCAGTCTCTGAACTTTACAATTGGGCCTAAACAAGTTGATTTGAATGGGTCATCTTGGGCCTAGCTATTGACTTCTAAATGGGTCACCGTGTTGAGTTTACCTGGGCCGCCCCAATGTAACTACAAAATTTACTCTGGAAACAATTCAGTTTTGATCAATGGGATAATTTTTATTTTTCGTCTTAATTATGATTGGGTACATTTTAATTTTAAATTCAAATTCAGATTTAATTCAACTTAACTCTTATAAATATAATTGAATACTATCGATAAATCATTATCACATATTTTTTTAATATAATTTACTATTCATCTATTCACATTTTGTTAACTATGAATCATTTTTTAATCCGTAAACATCAACTTCAAGCATTATATTATAGCTCATGTCCGAATACAAAATCATAATCCAACTCAAATCTCTTTTTCTTTTTTCTTTTTTTTTTTTAAATTAACTCATTTTATTCTAATAAATCAAATGTCATAACCTGAATACTTCCGATGACACATGTACACGTGTGTTGACATGTTTAGTAGTTTTTTTAAAGAAGCACATTGAAACTTCTATTATAATTGACTTATCAAGTAAGTTCACCAAATGCTTTTACTATATCACTTAAATGTTTAGTCATCAACAAATTTTAAATTTACTTATAAACTAATAGCTTATCAATAATCAAATAAATCTTCAGCTCGATTTACCAATCGTACTCTGCTGAGTTAGTTGTTGACATAGCGCAAGCATAAACGACTGAGAGAAAAAAAAAAACTCTCAAATATATTTTATTTCAATCAAACCTCAACTCCTCCAAACAATATAATGATGGTCTTAAACCGTACTCCTTATAAACCTACTTACCATAAACTTTAGACTCCTGAAAAATTCATAATTAAATAACTTCTCTACCAAGTAAAGGACTAAAATAATTATCTTTTCTATAATTAACTGTTTGATATGTAAAAGTATTTAAATTGCAATATTATGTTCCAAAAAGCTACATAACGTTTTTTAAGTTGACTTTTTGAATCCAAAACACTTACTTCAAACTACTTGTACAAAACAGTAAAATTAAAGGTTGATGACGTGTCAACCTCTTATTCGACCTCAATTTGGTCAAAAATGATATTTAACAGACAAGGCGCATATCTAAGACGAGATATTCCAACATAAAGCATGCCATAAATGTGGTTGGGGTATAATTATATACAAATATATTGATAAGTTCAGCGAACCGAAAGCCAAAGCCCACTAGATTTAAGGAATATAAAGAACGAGTGGATCCGAACAGCCCAATTGGAATTTATACATTCAGGATCGGCCCGATCTTGTCTGGGCCCATCCGTCTCTTGACTCTTTTTTGTGGTTGGGGTTCGATATACTGCCAGTCTGCCACTGCCAGTGCTCTTCAGTGAAATGGCAAAAGGTTTTCTTTTATAATTATCTTCAGATAAGAAAAACGAAAAGAGCTACTTTTTAATGTATTAAGTTGGGAAATGTTACGGTCTTGGAATCATTTCATCGGAGTTTGTAACCATTAAATAATCATGTAATCATCGGGGATAATTGATTTAACGGTTACAAATCCTGACGAAATGATTCCGTAACGGAACTGTAACATCTCCTAATTAAGTTTTCGTTGGCCTTATGAAGAAAGCATCTCCTTTTTTAACTAAAAATAAATCCCAATAATAACATGAATGCACTCATGTTCTCCAAATATTATCCGTTACTTTTTTTAGTTC